GGATAAACTTTGTTTTTAATATCCTCCTCCTTTTTTTCTTCTCTACCAGATATCTGCTGTATATACGATGCAGCTCCTCAAACATTGAACAAAATAAAACAAGTAAAAGCATTTTTTTTTTCAAATTACTTTCCAAATTTAGAAATAATTTTCCTTCATTTAAGTAGTGTGAGAGCGCAACAATGCTCTAAATGTGTTGGCATAGCAACGTGATACTTCCTGTTTCCTTTTCCGCCTGTCCTATGAAGGCCGTCTCATTTAATTCTAGGTTGAGGACACTTCGTATATGCATCCTACAGAGGATGCGACCTCCAGAGGATTCGACCTCCGGAGGGCGCAGCCTTCTAAATGAGACACAGCTAATGTTTACATGGGAAAAAAAGCTCCATCTGTCAGAAAAATGTAGGTAATCAAAAGTCCATAAAGAAAAGTAGTCCCATCTCACAATGACAATTTAGACAACTTGACAATTTAACATTTTCAACAGCATGCAACAGATCTTGTCAATACAGCTTAAGTTGTATTTAACCCCAGTTATATAGCCTGTCAGTTATAATTTCTGTGCATTGGTTACCTGATATGTGATGAAATTTGGTTCCTTTTACCATTAACAAAGGTAACCTAAATAATTCCAGATATCAGTTAATTCAGTAGCATGTTTCGTGTTTTTGTGGAACCATTATCATATACATATATTTTACTCGTACAGAGAGATGCACTTCTTTGCGGCTGAAAGCCTTAGTATAGAGTAAAACATGTTAGTTCTACAGATGCTGAGGGGGTAAAGTCCAGTGCAAAATATACATTCATATCACCCTGAAGAGCCACAAAATGGGTCATGACACAACTTCTTATTGTATTATTTTCCTTGAGGTTCACTTATAATGTATAATGTATATATCATACATAATCATATTTTATTAACACATGACCATTCTCCATTTTCTCAGTGTCCTTCTGATTTAAAGATGCTGTTATTGTGCTTCTTGTGCTTCATGACTTCACTGTAAATCCCCATTGTCATGACAGGGTAACAACCTTTTACATAGGAAATATTGTATCAATACCCCTGTCATATCATGTAGATTACAGTATATGGCAGTAAATAATCATAAACAATCAAAATTATGTGAAGCATACACATCTCAAACTGCTACAGATCCAAGACTGAAATAACACTTAGAAAACATATCAAATAACACAACACTGAACAGCAGTCATGGTTCTCAAGATGCACTCTTAACAGTTAAACTGTTAAACAGCATCTTATGGCATGAGATGTGTTGCAGTGGTCAAAGACGTAAATCAATAGCATAGGTAGGAAAAATTAAGAAACAGCGTAAATAGACACAAATCCTGCATGAAGCACCTTTGATAGAAATAGTAGTGCCTGTCCTGCCCTTTCCTTAGTACAATACTTCACCTCTACTTGCACGCCAGGTGAAAAAATAAAAATAAATTGGCAAAAATGTGTTGCTGTGGAGGCAGTCATGCACTTGATCTATTCATTTGATGTCACAAAGTTGTAAAAGTAGAAAACAAGTTTTTTTGCAGCTTTGTTTCAGTTAACACTCTAAATTGGGGGGGGGGGGGTGATGCTTGGTGATTAATTTCTCCATGTATGGCCAATGGTTCTGAATCTGTTCGACCAGACTCAGTTTCCATTCCCTGTAAAAACGATTGCTTCCAGAGAGCAGGTCCACACCCTGTGCATGTGTGAGAGAGAGAGACCTGACTGTAGCCTGAGACTTGATACATGCTCACCATTGTTTATGCACAGCACTGTGGTGGCATCTAGTGGTGGACCTGCAAGAGAGTTTGTGCACTGCACTGTGAATGTGCAAGCAGCCTGTGTTGGGACAGCTATTGAGTGACTCACCACCTCAAAGGGAGCAGTAGCTCTCTGCATGTTTTGCCAGTTTGTGGATTCTTTTGCTATGCAATGTTATTTTGAGGATAAACACTGTGAAACTGTGGGCATCTAAAGTGCTTGTGACAGTTCGTGAGTGCACTATTGTTGTGCCTTGTTTGGTTATTGCCCTGCAGAGGATACCCAGCCAGCTACCCTTTTCTTTTTCCTCGCTTCTCTAGTGGGAGTTCCTGATTTGTTTGGGGGCAGTTGCGGCCTAATGATTAGAGAGTCGGCTCTCTCCACCCTCAATACCATGTCTGAGGTGAGACCCTTGAGCAAGGCACCGAACCCCCAATTGCTCCACTGCAGCATTGCCCACTGCTCCGGGTGTGTGTTCATGGTGTGTGTGTGTGTGTGTTTGTTCACTACTCACTGCTGTGTGTGTGCACTTGGATAAAGTGCACTTGGATGGGTTAAATGCAGAGCACAAATTACAAGTATGGGACACCATACTTGGCCACACGTCACGTCACGTCACGTCCTTTCCTTTGTCCCTCAGTGGTGTAGCAAGTAAACAAATCTTTGGATAGGACCCAACAAGTCTACTCTGACTCTGACCCAACAAGTATACATATGGCTTATTGCCACCTATACAACAGTTTGCCAGGGTGATGTGGGAGGGACAGATTGTGTCTTTCTTGGTAGACAGAGCTTCTGCAGAGCCTCGTCATTCCTCTTATTCCTTATATCGATTCAGCATCTGTGCAGAAAACGTTATTCTCCTGAATTCTGTAAATAGAAAATGAATGAAAATTTACAGCCCATTCAGTCAAAATCTTATGATTTGAAATGATTTGTTGCAGCCTTTTTGAGTGGAACTTCCGCAAAACAAGAGTCTCCAATCATTTAAAACACAGTAGGCTCATTAGGAAAAAGGTGGATAGAACATAAAAAGATCGCAGCAGCAGAGCAAACGTGTAAGTGTTTGTTCAACCAGAATCTGAAAGTAGCCATACTGTTTGTCTACTAGAAACTCTGGTGTGTTTCCTTGCCAGAAATTTTGTGCTACAGAGGTAGAGCTGCAGACGTTTTCCCTGCTACCCAGTGTTTTCTGTGTAGCCACAACCATTTACTTCTAACTGCTTGTCCTCGGCTTCTCTGGGACAAAAGCAGTAAGTCAGTCTTTAGGAGAGATGTGAGAAGAGGGTTTTGAATAAACAGATGATTCTGACTGTGTTCCAGTTAAAAAAAAATTTTTTGGCCTTCCTTCACTAACCTCTATCTCATAGACTTGGATCTACATCATTACCTATGTTGTATGAGTGGCCCCTTGGAACACCCTTAATCACTGGGAATGTGCTATATTATTATTATTTTTCCTTATAAGATGTTTATGCACCATTCCATAAGTATACATGTATGCTTAGATTGCTAAGGATAACTCCAAATGTAAACATACCCTAAAACCAAAGTGGAACGCACTCATTGTTATGTAGGGGTGTGGAGTGACTCCTAGACACAAGCATCGATGGAGTAGGGGCTTTAGTGGAATACAACCACAACTCTCCTGCCTGGAAGTTTCTAGTGCAGTGGTTTTTAATCCTAGTCCTGGGGACCCACTGCTCTGCACATTTTGTATATTTCCCTAATCTGACACTCGCATCTGATTTCATGGAGCTTTTACCTAGTGAGCTGGTGATCTGAATCAGTGTTAAATAATGGAGACATACAAAATGTGCAGAGCAGTTGGTCCCCAGAACCAGAATTGAAAACTACTGTTCTAGTGAGTCTGAAGACCTTGATTAGCTGTTTAATTAGAGTTGGACCTAAACTCTGCAGGTCAGTGGCCTTCCAGAAACAGGTTTAGATTACCATAGTTTTGCTTCAACCCTAATTATACACACCTAAACCTGTTAATAAAGGACTCCAGGATTACTAGAAACTTCCAGGTAAGTGTTTTGGAGCAGCTTGGAGCTAAACTCTGATAGTGGGCCCCCATGATCAGGATTGGACACCCCTGCAATAGGAAGTACATCAACACAGGAAAGACAACTGCATTCATCAAACCTTTTCATAGAGTCTTTATGTGAGTGATGAATTGCATGGCCTGTGTTTATTTAATAATTTATTTTCACTGACTGTCTGTGGTTCTTTGGAACAGAGTAAGGTTACTTCCACTCATAGTGATTACTACATTGTCATTTCCTCTTTCTAATTTTTTGTTTCATTTCTCAGGTTATGTGGTGGGTCCTTCTTATCTTATCTACAGGATCAGGGGGCTCCTGGTTGGCACTCGGCCCCAGAACAAACCCAGAACAGAGTGGGATCTCTACAGTGTTCTCTTCCTAGACAGGCAATGGAGTCTATGATGTCATCAGTACGAGCCACACTGGACTGTGATTCTAAGCAGTCTTGCCTAGCCCAGGAAGCTCTAATTGAACCAGTGCGGGACATAGGGCATTCTGAGATCATCCACGGGCATTATCAGGGAACTCAACCTTTTGAGAAAGGACTAGGCTTCCCTCACAGAGCAGCTAACATTCGGGATTGGGAGGACATGCGTCTAAGAGGACAGGTAAGAGTTGGGAAGGAATTGATTCAGATTAATTTTATCTGATTTAATTTGTGTTTTCACATATCATGGACATTTTTTGTCATGTATTGATTATTTGTATTGCCTTGACCTGCAATTATATGATGGATGAGATGACGTTGACTTGAAGTCACAAACAATTCTGCCACAGGTAGGATTAGGTTATGGCACTTCTTACAAATTTCTTTGGTATTCTATGACACTGACTGTCATACAACTCTGACAGCAAGTCAGTGACCTCAAGGCTATAATGAGATTGGTTATCAAGGCAGATGTTATCCAAGTTGATGGTTACATTTTCTCCATTGGGAGAGCCATGGAGGTTGGTATCTCTCCATAAAAAATTGCAAATTTGTTGTTAACAAAGCATTTTCAAACCTAAAAGTAATTTGTAGTGACATTACGTGGTATTCAAACCAACATTTGCATCTTTCCGAATCATACTCTATTGCACCTTTGTAGTGAAGGCTTTGTTTGTGTGATTTGATTGGTTGTTTACTATTAATAAATATTGCATAGTGTACTTCAGGAGAATTATTTACTAGACTCCATCAGTCATTTTAATATTCTGTGACTAGATTTGAAAAACAGTGTGCATGTATGCATCATTGGGCTAGGGGAAGAAAAAATGAAATGAAAATGAAAAAAAAAGTAAAAGGAAATGGTAAAACAATGAATAATGACGTTAAGAACGAGCACCAGCAAGCCCAAAATGCCATCTGTGGCAGACCATATTCATATTACAAGTGACTCCATTAAAACAAGCCCAAAGTGGACATGTATAATTAGCTTTGAAAAATATTTAGAAACTCAAGTATGCACAATTGTTTGTACTTGCTTGTGGTGCAATGCACACACACAGCTTTCCATGTTTTATCATGGAATCCCTCAAACATAATGGTTTTCACACTGTACAGACTGTATTTCCTTACTCTAACCCATACCCCTCATGCAATTTTTATTATAATTTTTTTTTTTCAAAAACTTTCATTCTGTATGATTTATAAGTTTGGAGTTTCCTTCTGTGTCAATTTTTGACACACACAGTCAAAAATTACTGGTATTACAATCCTTGTGAGGACATAACATAGGGAATACCAGGTGTACACACACAGACACACACACACATACAGTACAGCCAGCCCCTAGAAGGACACAACCCATTGGTTTCTAAAAATAGATCATCCAAAAATAGATCTTCTGTCATCCAAAGGGCTGCTCCTGCTGCACTGGCTAGTGGGGGGAGGAATGTTATATATGGATTTGGAAAGCATGGACAGTAAGGTCATAAACTACAATGGTTTCTCAAAGACACACAGTGTGCTTTTTTAGCTGTGAAAATTGTGCTTAAATTGTAAAGGGAAATAACTGACTTTTTATCATTTGCATGAAAAACGTGAAACATTTTGTGAAGGGAGGTGAAACCTTTATAAGTAATATTGAGTTAAAGTCAAGTTATTTGAATACCTGACAGCTGAATTTGGTATTTGGTATTCATTTGCTGAATATGTCCTCAGATGTGGTATTTGGTATTCATTTGCTGAATACCATAGAATTAAAAAATGTATTGCCAGAAATGCACTTACAATGTACACTACTGTTCAATACTTTAGTAAGTAACTTTTTTAATTTAATGTGTCATTGCTGAATAATACTTTCAGAAAATGTTTGGATGTAAAGTCGGCAACACCAAAGCTCCAAAAGTATCAAAAAAATTATTTTTTTTTAAAACTGTCGAACTGTCCAAAAATTTTCCAGTTGTTTCTTAGTCGAGCACCCAGTTGAGATTGATGTGCGTGCTTTTGCCTGCTCTTCACTGAATAATACTTTTAGCAATGAAATATTAAATTGATTAAAAGTGACAATAAAGTCATTTACAGTATAATGCTACAAAAGACTTCTATTTCAAATAATGCTGTTCTTTCTATCCATCAAAAGATCCTGACAAAATGTATCACACTTTCCAAAAAAATATGAAGTAGCACAATTATTTTCAACAATATTACTGTTTTTACTGTATTTTTGATCAAATAAATGCTGTCTTGGTGCTCATAAGAGTCTTCTTTCTAAAACATAAAAAATCTTACTGTCCCCAGACTTCTGAACAGTAGTGCACATCTGAGGACAGAAGGATTTTGTTTTCAATAATTAACATGAAACTTGAAAGTAATCTGACATAAACATTCTGACGAAAGGTTCTATTGTGTCTGTAGTTTATGGAAATGTCTGCTTAGTTTAAATAATACTACATGTAAACCAAAGGAGGTACCTGGTGTGAAAACGCTGTTGTTGAAATGTTAGCAGCTGTTCGTTCACTCACAAACTAAGAGCCACAACAAGAGAGTTGTCCTCACATTGTGGGTATTTAAAGCATACAGATCACATGTGCAATCAGACACTAGACAGAAGGGAGATGTTTTTGGAAGGTTGAGAGAGAGAGGGCAAGAGAGAGAGCGAGAGAGAGAGCAGTCAAAAAAGGAAGCAAAAGCCAACCACATTCCCAACACCACTCAATGTGGAAATGACAGAGGAAGGAATAGGCTCAGATTAAGAATTGCCTGCTTTCTTTAAATGAAAGCTGTGGATAAAGTGGAAGACGGAAACTAGGGGAAGATAACATCCTTCCCCAAATCTCTGGACCTCATCTCGCTGTTGGAGCGTGTTTCTGAGTGCTTGTGAGAGAGCGACCGCCACACTATGTGGGCACTGGTGACTGAGCTGCTGTTCAGCTTCGTGCTGTTGGCCTTCATGGTCATCAGCTGCCAAAACGTCTTGCATATCGCCAGCAGCTCTGTCCGATCGGTGCTGGCCTACATTCACACTCAGCTGGATCGTGAGTTGGGTGAGAATGAAGGTGTGGCTGATGAAGAGGAAAACTTCACCACTCGAGTTGTGCGCCGCAGAGTTATACTGAAGGTACAGACGATTGTTTTTGTAGTATAATCTGGGATATTTCTTAAAGGCAGTGCCATAAAAGAGAAATAGCAGAGACTTCAGCTGTAGTAGGTTGTAAATCTAGGGGACTACAGTAATACTTGGGTGGTTGGTTTCAGTTTCATTTGACCTCGTTTGAGTGCACTCCTGCAAACAAGCATGAAATGCCAGTGGCCTGTAAAAACAGTAGTACAGTGAGCAACTATAGTTGGTGAGTAAAATATGAGATTGTTCTTATAGAACATTAGGATGAATATTAAAGCATGGTACTAATCACTGGATGTTACAAGCTCTGTATTTGAGGTTAGTCTAGTCATTGACACATGTTGCATTCCTGCATTCCTCATACACATTTTATGCTTAAACTGTTTTATAAATTAGGGTTGGTTTTATACAATATCTAAGAGATTGCCAACCTTTCCTGTTTGCTGACCTCCTGGAGGACACACTTTTAAAGGGGTCATGACATGCTTTTTTAAATATGTTTCTTGAGGTTCACTTGTAATTTTGGTAGTTTTGGCACAAAAAATATATATAATCATATCTTGTGAGTATTGTCTCCTATAAAACCTGTCAATAAAGGTCTGAAACTTTTATATTTTTAAAATGCAATAGCCTCTTATACGTCAAAATATATATTTTTTTAAATCCTCATGTCAAGACCACTTTACATAATTTCAGTGGTGAACAAAGTACATAAATCAAGTACTTGTGTAAAAGTAGAGTTACCCTGACAAGGACACACTTTTAAAGGGGTCATGACATGCTTTTTTAAATATGTTTCTTGAGGTTCACTTGTAATTTTGGTAGTTTTGGCACAAAAAAATATATAATCATATCTTGTGAGTATTGTCTCCTATAAAACCTGTCAATAAAGGTCTGAAACTTTTATATTTTTAAAATGCAATAGCCTCTTATACGTCAAAATATATATTTTTTTAAATCCTCATGTCAAGACCACTTTACATAATTTCAGTGGTGAACAAAGTACATAAATCAAGTACTTGTGTAAAAGTAGAGTTACCCTGACAAAATATTTTTATTTTTAATTTAACTTTAGTAAAAGTACAAAAGTACTCGATTTTACATGTACTTAAGAATTAAAAGTAAAAAATACTGATTGATGAACAATGTTTATTTATTTATTTATTTAGCTTTTTTGGCCATTTTAATAAGGAGGATTAGTGGAAGAAGACACAAGTATTGATCTGCAAATTTGCAATAAATAATAAATAAATTTGACTACCAAAACATACATTGTCAAAATATTATACTTCAATATATTATAATATCTAATTAAGTTACTGATAATTCAAGTGTGCAAACAAGTGAAAATAAAATATACCATATACTATTTTAAAATGAAGAAAAACTAAATGTGTGATGACAATAAAAAAAACAGATATAACATGGGGCAAAATATGTTAACAGTTTAGGGAAAATGTTATTGATTTATATCATCAACAGCTGCAATCAGATCAGTTTTGCAAAATGAATCATTTATGATTTTCGAACCTGTTCAGTGGGTTCTTTGAAAAGAATCAGTTCGTTCATGAATTGGACATCATTATCATTATCATTATTATTTATTTAGCTTTTTTGGCCATTTTAATAAGGAGGATTAGTGGAAGAAGACACATAAGTATTGATCTGCAAATTTGCAATAAATAAATAATAAATAAATTTGACTACCAAAACATACATTGTCAAAATATTATACTTCAATATATTATAATATCTAATTAAGTTACTGATAATTCAAGTGTGCAAACAAGTGAAAATAAAATATACCATATACTATTTTAAAATGAAGAAAAACTAAATGTGTGATGACAATAAAAAAAACAGATATAACATGGGGCAAAATATGTTAACAGTTTAGGGAAAATGTTATTGATTTATATCATCAACAGCTGCAATCAGATCAGTTTTGCAAAATGAATCATTTATGGAGATTTTCGAACCTGTTCAGTGGGTTCTTTGAAAAGAATCAGTTCGTTCATGAATTGGACATCATTATCATTATCATTATGTCTGTTGTCTGTTTCCTCAATTTGACATAACAAGGAATGATTATTTTTTTTAATGAAATGTAATGGAGTAAAAAGTTTAATATTATGCTTTGGAATGTAGAAAAATAATCTGATATATATTCCAGATACTTGAAAAATGTACTGAAAATTTTCGAACCTGTTCAGTGGGTTCTTTGAAAAGAATCAGTTCGTTCATGAATTGGACATCATTATCATTATCATTATCTGAGAGTGGATGTCTGTTTCCTCAATTTGACATAACAAGGAATGATTATTTTTTTAATGAAATGTAATGGAGTAAAAAGTTTAATATTATGCTTTGGAATGTAGAAAAATAATCTGATATATATTCCAGATACTTGAAAAATGTACTGAAATACAATAACAAAGGTAAATTACTTTGTAGATGTCCTAGTAAATATAATGAATGTAAAACTTAATGGCAAATTTTATATAATTTTTCACATTTTTTCTTGTTTTCATTTTATGCATTTAATCATTCAATTGTGGCATTTCCATCACCCTGCATCACAAATTCACAATACCAGCTGTAAACAGAGATTTACCCTATTCATGATAGATACATAAGCCTCTGCATCAAAATCTTAGCTTTTGCATGATCGCCGATCATTTTGACCTTTGGTCACCATTTTTTGACTATAGACAGGACGATTGCGAGCATGTCAAATCGGAGAGTGCATGAAGCACACAATAGACCATGTCGCTTTATCAAGTTGCTGTTGTCATATCTCGCCTAGGGTGATGAGGCAGAGGATCTTCCAGGAGAGCAAGTGAGCGAGGAGCAATTTACAGATGAGCATGGCAACATCGTCACCAAAAAGGTCAGCAGTCTCATCCTGATTTTTTCATTTACCATTCATTAGCATGTGAAATCCATTTCAAATGCATCTCAACAATCATTTTGTTCAGCTGTACAAATGAGCATGTTGGGTTTGTTGCTTCAAAGCCTAATGAGCTGCCCACGTAGACAGCATTTCAAACGATGCAGCAGCTGTACCAAAAAGTAGGCTTCCTCATTTAGACCAAATTCTAAGGAAGCATCTCACGTATCGTTCTCAGAGAAGACAATCCCAGAATACATTATAACAAATGTAAAAATGTGAACGAAGTCCACCCAAGATGGCACAGAGAGAAACTAGGAATTGACCCTATATAGAGGGATAATTCACTCAAAAATGAACATTCTGTCATAAATTACTCACGTCATGTCGTTCCAAACCTGTAGGACCTTTGTTCATCTTCAGAACACAAATTAAGATAATTCTGATGAAATACAAGAGCTCTCTGACCCTGCATAGACAGCAAGGGTCCTAAAGGTTATGTTTTTATTTTTAACAAAAATGCATATATGCTTATCAGATTACTTTTTTCAAGTAACTAGTAAAGTAATGCATTACTTTTAATTTACAAGATTATATCTGAGTTACTTTTTCAAAAAAAAAATGTTTTCCCCATGTTGAGAGAAATCAGAAGATGTTACTGTAGTTCTGAAATAAATATGAATATGCATTAATTCATCTCACTCACACAAAAAAAAAACACAGATTCAGTATTCCTCAAAATGAATAAAAATAATCCAACTCAGAATATGACGCCAACCTGCAATAATTAAATGTTAAACAACACAAATATCCTTTATGTATTTAATCCCATTCTATTAACCAATGTATTTGTTTCTGACCTTCGATGATCCAGTGCAACCATACTAATAAGCAAAAATGACTCTTGACAAACATTTGTGTGTCTTTTTTTATTGCTGAAGTATGTTGAAATGTCTTCTTCTGCATTCTACTGTACGGACGTACATTTACTTTCCCTTCAGCCTGAGGCTTATTCATTTCACTTTTGGTGTGAAAAGGCTTTTATATTTGCCAAAAATATGCTTTTTTATTTTAAAAACAAACAAGCAAGCCCTGTCCAGATTTAAAAAGTAACGCAAAAGTAACGTAACACATTACTTTCCATAAAAAGTAACTAAGTAACGTAATTGGTTACTTTTTTATGGAGTAACCAAATATTGTAATGCATTACTTTTAAAAGTAACTTTCCCCAACACTGCTTATAACACAATACTTTGTGTCATATTACTATGCCATTAAAGGGGCTATACATAAGAATTTTTATGTATTAATCACCTTTTTTTGTGAACATCTTGTAACCAATTTTAAAAAACAAGACCTAACCCAAATTCCTAGGTTGTCTATGAAATACTGAATCTCAGTCTGGATGTTCATTAACAGCATCACTGCAAAAGCATTTCCAACTTCTCTTTAATTCCAAGAACGAAAAAGAGCTTCACCATTAGTATATCAGGGCACTGATTCATGTTCAGTCTCTTGTACGTTACGTGTGCACGAGTGTGAGAATGAGCAAATAAGTTGCTGAGTTTTTAATTTGACATAAGGGTGCAACTTGACTGTTTCTAATACAGCGGCTGAAGGAGTGACTGTATCTCAGACATCATTCTTTCTCCTGACCACCGTACCTATCATGGATATTTAGTTAGTTAGTTAGTTAGTTAGTTAGTTAGTTAGTTAGTTAGTTAGTTAGTCAGTTAGTTAGTTGCCATTTCCATTCACCATTTCCATTTAAACTTTTTACCCAACTATGACAACTTTTGCTTCTAAGAACCCTAAAAAAGAGAAAGGGGTCTATGTTCTTATATTTCTTTGAGTAGTGAACTTTCAAATAAAAAAAACATACTTAAATTGCTTATTATACCCTATAAGTGTCTACTATGTATTTTTATGCTTATTAGGGTACACTCAAAAATATTTAGGCCTTTAAGATTCTAAGGTTTTTTATATTAAGACTTAAGATTTAAGTATTTTAATTTAATATAACAATTCCATCCATTTGCATTACAAAGTTTTAAATTAAATAAAAAAATTAAAAATATATAAATTAAAATTAATATATATACTTATAATACCATACTTTGTGTCATATTACTATGGCATTAAAGGGGCTATATTTAAGAATTTTCATGTATTAATCACTTTTTTTGTGAACATCTTGTAACAAATTAAAAAAAAAGACCTATCCCAGCTTCCTAGGTTGTCTATGAAATACTGTAGAGTCTCAGTTTGGATGTTCAGTATCACTGCTAAACGACTTTTGCTTCTAAGAACCCTGAAAAAGAGAAAAGGGTCTATTGTTCTAATATTTATTTGAGTAGTGAACTTTACAAATAAAACAAATTGCTTATTATACCCAATAATTGTGTCTATTTTTGTATTTTTATGCTTATTAGGGTACACTCAAAAATATTTAGGCCTTTAAGATTCTAAGGTTGGGCACACACACACACACACACACACACACACACACATATATATATGTATATACAAACCCAATTCCAAAAAAGTTTGGACACTGTACAAATTGTGAGTAAAAAAAGAATGGAATAATTTACAAATCTCATAAACTTATATTTTATTCACAATAGAATATAGATAACATACCAAATGTTGAAAGTGAGACATTTTGAAATGTCATGCCAAATATTGGCTCATTTTGGATTTCATGAGAGCTACACATTCCAAAAAAGTTGGGACAGGTAGCAATAAGAGGCCGGAAAAGTTAAATGTACATATAAGGAACAGCTGGAGGACCAATTTGCAACTTATTAGGTCAATTGGCAACATGATTGGGAATAAAAAGAGCCTCTCAGAGTGGCAGTGTCTCTCAGAAGTCAAGATGGGCAGAGGATCACCAATTCCCCCAATGCTGCGGCGAAAAATAGTGGAGCAATATCAGAAAGGAGTTTCTCAGAGAAAAATTGCAAAGAGTTTGAAGTTATCATCATCTACAGTGCATAATATCATCCAAAGATTCAGAGAATCTGGAACAATCTCTGTGCGTAAGGGTCAAGGCCGGAAAACCATACTGGATGCCCATGATCTTCGGGCCCTTAGATGGCACTGCATCACATACAGGAATGCTACTGTAATGGAAATCACAACATGGGCTCAGGAATACTTCCAGAAAACATTGTCGGTGAACACAATCCATCGTGCCATTCACCGTTGCCGGCTAAAACTCTATAGGTCAAAAAAGAAGCATATCTAAACATGATCCAGAAGCGCAGGCTTTTTCTCTGGGTCAAGGCTCATTTAAAATGGACTGTGGCAAAGTGGAAAACTGTTCTGTGGTCAGACGAATCAAAATTTGAAGTTCTTTTTGGAAAACTGGGACGCCATGTCATCCGGACTAAAGAGGACAAGGACAACCCAAGTTGTTATCAGCGCTCAGTTCAGAAGCCTGCATCTCTGATGGTAT